CGTGTCCAAGTCTTCTACTTCGCCAACAATCAGAAAATTAGATAAATTAAATCCTTTTTAATTAGGTCGCGTGTAAATGATTAAATTTGAAATAAAAAAACATTTAGAAACCTCAACAAAGGTGAAACCATTATTCAAACGTTTCCGGAGTACCGCGAGAATTATATATTTAAATAACCAACAGAGTGACAACGGTTGTTCCTCACTACACTCATTTCGCACTCCCTTTTTACTTTGCTTTTTAATGAACTCTGTACGGGAAATTCATCCCACACCGGGCAACGCGGGTTGTTTGTTTATTCAGACGTCCAATTCGGAGCCACGAGATTCATAACCTAATGGCCGCAACTTTTCGAGCAGATTTCTCGACAATTATCTGGCGTAGCTGGACGTCAGGTGAGAATAATTTCGTTCGTGCGCGAAAGTTCAAGAGGAAAAACCAGTCGAACAACTTTCGTCGACGCTGTTTACTAGTTGTTTGATAATCGCGACTAATCCTCCGCCGCTTCGATATGAAGTTTATTGAGACGCGAAACTCTCGCGTTGTTAATCTATTAATGAGCAAAGTATTGTTGTACAACAAGCAGCCGCGAGTACGCGATTTTATACAATTTTTAACCAAATCCCGTCGTGCATAATTAATATATCATAAATTTTCATCTGTTGATTGAAATGAAAATTAGCGAAGTTTATTCACCGCGTTCCCTAGTATAAATACAAAAAATATATTCTATATAAAAAACAATACAGATATATTAAGAAAATTGTATAATTATTTGAGTCTGATAAATGAAAGCTTGCGACGTTAACAATAAATTCATTAAAAGATGGATACTCATTAAACCGAAACAAGTAGTAAAGATCAACGATTTCTGGCACGTAATCAGACGACGCCATATGAATTCAGAATTCACGATCTTATGGTGAATCGAGCTCGAGAGAAAACACGAGCCTCTCGCAAAACGACAGACGTGTCTGCCGCGACGGGGGTAGGAACGGTGGTAAGCCAGGTAGTCCTGAATAATGGGCCGAGGAAAAATTCATTGAAGACGAGCACGTGGCGCGGTGCAATTAGTTTTTTCGCGCGCGGAAGAATGCGCGGCGGCGGTTACCAATCCGTCGTCAGAGAATTTAATTTTGTTACGCACCTGAAAGGAATGCCGTTCGACGCTCACCCGCCCCCACCTCCATGCGTACGTACGCGAACGGAGAACTATGGACGAAAGCAAACGAACCAGTAGGTATACGAAAACAGAATTTGAAAATTAACCGGGTTCGCCGATCGATCGATTCACCCTCCCGGCTGCATATTTCCCTACCGATTACTCTTTTTTCTCAGGCAATGTTTTTACAGAGAATTTTTCCCGTAGACCCGACGGATGTTTTCCGAGCGGAGGTACCACCGGAAAATATCAAAATATTCCTGTACAACGGTTACACGCGGTGGTGGCGTATCGATCAACCGCTCGAGATGCGAATCGGACTCTGATCAGAGAACCAAAACGATTCCCGAAAGGTCTTCATTAATTTCAATTCAAAACGAAGAAGCCGATGTCAAAGGAAGTTAATAAAAGTCTGGAGAGATGGTGGAGGGACGACAGATATTGAGACGGGGAGAAAATGAAAAGATCTTTGGAAAATACTTTGATCTGGAAGGATAAAATAATTTAAAAATAACGAAGTCGAGGGAAGTGGGTGACATCCTCCGGTAATCTTGGCGCAATAAAAATAACAGTCCCCGGGCGAAGCTAGCGAGGAGTGCGTCGGAGTACTCGCTCGAGGGCTTAAAACTTTATCCCAATAATTTCCTCTGGCCGGGGCGGCGGCGATCTTTCAAGTGAAAATCCATTTTCGACTCCCTTTTCCAGGTCCGTCGGTACACCCGGTGCTGCCTACTCAGCTGCGGTCAGTTTCAGTCGAAAAGAAGTTGTCCTTGGCAGGGAGGAGGAGAGGGACGGAGCCCACAGGAAGGAGCTCCATTTTCCCTGCGGGACCAGTGGCAAAGGGTGCAAGGAACCGTGCAGAAATAGGCAGTCGGGTTCTCCAGGACTCGAGCACCCACAGACGCTATTCAGCCGTGACAAAAGGCAATCACCATAGAAGTGGTCGATAGGAAGGAGGAAGAGAGCCCGGGGATCGGCAGTCGTCATAAGTTATCGGGGATCGCGTCGATATTTTGTCCAAGAAAATTTTTCCGAGAGGGCACGGGAAACGAGGACTAGGCACCTCCTCCGCTCTTACGAGGAGTCTTAAGGATCCTCGTCCACGGAAGTGATTTCTCGGGTGTCAGCCGAGCGTTCGCCAGCCAGTTCTCGAGGCCTTTCTCGATAACTGATACACTTCTCGAGCACTTTTTAACGAGACCATCCCGGAGAGTTTGTTCGAGAGCGGAAAACTTTTCCCCTAACGCCTGTTCGAACAACGCGCTCGTGTTTCTTCACGTTTCTCGTTCATTAACAGTCCAACAGTTACAGCTTATCGTTCCAGACGCAACCTCGAAATAAAATCATTTCCAGGTTTCTCGTTCCCAGTTTTTTAATGAACTCGGTTAGGTAGGGTAAATATTTTGTCAGTAGATCAGTTTCCCAAGCGAGGAAAAGAGAGAACCGAGTTAAGAAAGTTCTCTCGCTACTTGCTGATTAAAGAGTCCGCGTTTCGAGTTCCTTTCTGTTAAGTACTCACGCTCCGTCTTTTTCATATTACTTGAAACGTCCAATTAATTGAATAATCCGTTAATCAGAAGTTTCCCTGTATGAACCGTATCACCGGAAATAAAACATTGCGATCGAACAGAATATCTTTATAAGTCAGTACCGCGAGCTTTTCCTTCGCAGCTTAAGAAAATATGAATATCAAGAGTACAATTAAGGACGAGATTAATTTTCATCCAATTTACCCACCTCAAGACGCGACTCGATCGTTTAAATTGCAAGCAACTCGAACAAGGAACCCTTTGTCCACTAATGCCACGTTTAAGCTACAAAGTCTCCGGTCCGATTTCTTAAAGCACTCGATAAACGCTTGTACCGCGTAATTCCCGAGTCTCGACTAATCGACCGAGCCGTTGGCGAATAATAAACGGCATCTTTGATGAGAGCCAACAGACTGAGAACAACTAGTGTCTTAAGTCAACATCATCAGACGCGAGTAGATCGGATGCAATTGCTCGGGCTACGATTTAATGGTCCACTCGACGCTTGGATCCTATAATCGGCCCCGCTGTCTCGATAAAAAGCCTCTCTATCTCTCATATATCTGACGGATCGTTACAAGTTCCCGCTGAGATTTCGTTTTTATCCCGAAATACTCGCGCGGATCAACGAATTGCTGATGGGGAGGGGTCGAGGCTGGCTCATGAAAATTGCGAATACAATTTGTAAGCCACTCGACGACGAATATTAAAATGAGATTCAATTCCACTAGCTGCATCAGAATAATCACGGCTTCTCGTGAACTTGGCTTCCTTTCACGATTTTCTGCTAATGTACAGACTGAATGGAGAGACTTAATCATCGATAAAGTCATCTAATTATAATTATCAATAAATATATGAATCATTTTTTTGGAAACCTGGCCTGTTTCAATATAATTCCTATTATTTAATTTCTTTTATTAATTTTATAGAAAGAATCGTTGAGTGGGCGATGGCACATAATGCTATTTCCGGTTCATCCTACGTTTACACAGGGGATTGTTAAACGTTGATCAGGGGTGCACGGTTGCACCGTTGCGAATAATCGGCAGGGGGTAATACGCGCGTTTAGCCGAGCCCGGATCATTCGAGATAAAGTCGAAATTGTTTCACCGATTAGCGGGAAGATTAGGGTAACGAGGTTTGAATTATATGAAATTTATTGCTACACACAATATCCAATGGAATTCGGAACGAAAATTCCCAGATACTTAAAATAATTCAAACGAGATTTCCATTCCGTTAAGATACTCGTATTTTAATAATTCGAATTCTAGACCGTCGGAAGCTGCAAGTTCGATTCGACATGAATGAATTCCATTATACGAGAAGGCGGCTGGCTACTTTTTATGGCGGTAATGACTTTCCAGTAAATTAGAATCGATAAGCCGCATCGGTATACCGTTTCTAGATCGCTAACGATCTTTTTGCAACCGTCGAATGGGGGGCAAACATACGTGACAAAAAGCCAGGATGGAGGTCAACCTAGTCGAACGGGCGGCGTTTTTATTCGGTGGGCATGGGGCGTTGTACAAAAATGTTCCCTATTCGTTTCTGTTCCGCGGCCGACCGGCCGGACAACGGTTCCAAGCGATTAAACGGACGAAAGTCCCTCGCGTGAAGAAAGGCAACCGCGGCAAAAATTCATCAGCACCTCGCGAAGGCGATCGTTTCAAACGTTTCTGATTTTGTACCAACGACCGCGTCGTGCTTGTTTGATTTAAAAAGTACACCGTCGAATGAAATTCTTAAACCGACACCCCGTCTCTCCTCGCGCTGCTACTAATTGGGTCACACAAATATTTTCGAAAGCTCCGTAATCTCAGGATTACTTTGTCCGGAACCCTGCAACCCTAGAATCAATTTCTTTCTATTTTCCCCGTTTTTCTATCCAACCCTGGCGAAAACGTTTTCACCCATACGATATTTTGCCGTTTGGCAAATCCCTCTTTCGATATCAATAACTTTGTACTCGACTGATTCAAAGATCGCGACTAACCAAGTCAACGATTGTTTCATACTGAATTCTCGTTTTATATATCAGCATTCCTACGAATTGCGCGAAGCTCTGGTTTAGCTGAAAACCGGTGACGAAAGGTAAAACGGTAATAGCCAAAACGAACCTGGCACAAATTCACAGAGACGGCATCCAACACGGTCGTAACCTTTATCAGGCTCTTTATGACGCATTTTGTGGCAATGAGCGATCGTAAAAGTGTGCAACAGCGCTGTACGTGAGATCCCGTGATCTGTCTCTGCCCGATGCCAATTAAAATCAGATTGTACGTATGCATATTACAGAACTCACCGATTACAGTAGTTCCTCGTGGCAGCTGCTCTCGCCGGATTCTGCAACAGGACATTTCAGAAATTTATAGAACAGATTCAATATTGAAAACAGTACATCAAAATAATAAAAATTGCATCACGAGATAGATTTATCTTAAAAGATCACGCATATTTATATTGTTTCATAAAACGCGTGAAAATAGTGTCAAGACTACACATAGAAAGCCAACGTTTTGTTACAAGGCAGAATGTATGGGTGAACGTTTTCCTACAATTTTCGCGCGCCCCCGCCATACTTTGTTCGCGTATTATCATATAGAACTCTAGGGAAACGACAGGGCGCGAGGTAACGCGTAAACTTCTTACTTTACTCTGTCCCTCTTATTTTTTCCTTCGAGAGTCCACACCGGCGTGTACCGATACGCCGGTCGTACATACAGATATGTACCCAGGTATATAGAACGCATGTATCGACACTTTTACGCGTGTCTACATCCACTAACTTTCCTACTTGCTACCTTTTTCGTCAATGGGCATAAATCGTCGGCAAATTGCGGTGGCTTGAAATACGAACCACTCTCTTTGATGTCGGGACACGGAACATCGCCGTTCGACGAACCGTTCGCATAACCAACGTACCGCGGTACATGAATTTCAGATGCTCTCGTACGAATGACGTCGGACGTTGAAAATAATTAATAATTCGAACGCGAGTAAGAAAATTCGTTCGGGCAGACAATATGTTCCGCGAGGAATGTTCCATCAATCAAATAAATCGTCGGCAAGTGTGAAAATGGAATTGGCGGGCAGCGGGAATCCGCGCGGAACGATTGCCAGTCATAACTGTAAACAGGGAAGAATGGGCTGACAGTCAAACGTCGAACATGAAGTTTAGTTTGAAAAAGTGGAGAGGAGGGTGACGGTGATGGTTGCCGCTGGTTAAGATAGCTCCCATTGTCCCGGTGAATTTTTTTTTTTTTTTTTTTTAACCCACGGGTCCGTCACTCGCATTTCAGTTACATGCGCGCACACAGTCGCGAGGATTTCAACCGCGAGAGGACAGAGAGTCGGCGGAGAGCGCGAGGCGGATTCAATGCCGGGGCAAATCAATTTCGTGCCTAGCAATTTGCTTTTCACCGCAGCGATCGCGTCCGGATAATAGCCAACGATTCGGTGATTGTCTCGCGATAAGACAAACAACCAAAAAACTCTATCGTGCTTTTAAATATTTTACTATTAATATTGCTCCCGTTTTCGTTCGCTGCACAAGCAATTTGCGAGACCGTTTTAATAATTCTGCTGCATGTGTATCTTTGCTCATCTTTCCTTTAATTAACTATGAGCAATTTAAAATAGAGGCATCGTCTCTTATTCAGATTTCAGTAATAATTGAGCAGAAAAATTAGATTTCTAAACGGAAGAGATATGAATTAATTAAGGAGCAACGATAGTCGTAGATTATGCACAGGATCTAGCAAACAGACGATAATTTGATGAATAACTTCTAGTGAATCGGCTTCGAGAGATAATTAATCCATTGATGATACCGAGATTGATTCTAATTCGATGTTAAGAGGATAACGGTATTAAAGACAATGTCGGCGAGTTTGCCGGCGTATTTAGATTGTACCCTATTCGAAAGACGAAAGGTTCTCTCGTTCTCGAAAATCTCGTTTCGAAAAGCGGCGTATTAGGGGCGAGAGAACGCGACCTTTTTCCCCGCGGAAATCCACTTCTGGCTCTTGAGAGTCAGCGGGGTCAAACGTGCCAGTGTAAGCGCAAATATTCTCGAGAACGAACGCCGGAATATCCGCCGGAAATCCTTACGGAATCGTCGAAGACGTTTGCTTAAAAAAACTGGAGCACTGGCTCTCACCTCCTTTTATATCTCTGTTCTCTCAGGCCCGCGTTGTTTTATCCGTGACGCAATTAAAAAATCATTCCTTTCCACGGCGACTGTCGATCATTATTATTCATAGAAACATTTATATTAAGTAACTGGTTAAATAATATATGACTACTCAATTTTATGATCCCTGAGAACATGATTCTATACATACATCAGAAATTTAATCACGTACAAGTGTATTGTATCACTGAGAAAGGCATTTAGCAACATTAGGCATTACAGCTCGTGTTCCTTAAGGGACGTCAATGAAATTTGGGAGTCAGATTTCGTTCAGGCGTCTCACGGAATCAATTGAACTCGAAGGAACGTGAACGCCGCGCGGCGTTAGTGCATTATCGTGTAGCGAGTCGCGCGCTTTTGTCCGTCGACAGATTTGTACACAAGTGCAATCGATTTATCCAATCACCGGGCTGGCCGGTTCGTCTCACAGCGTTCGCGGCGGTGTTAATGACGCGGCACAATGATATTCGATTCAGGGACGCCGCGGGGCGCGACTATGAATCGCAACGCGCGAACACTGTTCACGGGAGCATCACCTGGCATGACGTTCTACGTAAACGGTACATTATAGCGGGAGCGTATCCCGGGAATAACAATGGTCCGTCCCTCTCGCGCTCGAAAACGTTGTCGCGGAAAATTATTCTAACGCGGTTACACGGCCGGGCCGTGACAATATTCCAGACGATAAATTTCCCGCAGCATCGAGACGAGAGCGGCCTCCCGCTCGACAAACGATTCCGCGAAGCTTGCAATTAACGATGTTCGCTCTCTGACAGAGGAGATTTCATCGACGATAAAAACTTCCGAGGTGGTTAGTTAAGATCAATTTCTAAAATAAAAATCAATTTCGTAAACGATCACCGTTCGATGTTCCAAAGCTGTTGGATGAAAAACTGTACTGAATTAGAGACGAGACAAGCTGGACGAAATCATACGATTCCCAAAGTGAGATTACTTCCTCCGGCGAGAAGATTTTTCCCAGAAGAAGGTAACGCAAAGGGATAAAGATAATGGCAGATAGAGAGTCCAGAGTACGCTTCAATTACATTCAATGGCGGTTAAATTCCGTCGGATCAACAGACCTCCGAGGCTGGCAGCGCGCCATAGAAAGTTAATTCGCCCCGGCGCCGAATTAATTCCCACATATATAAATATATCGCGGAACCAGCGGTCCGGACGCCCAGTTTTCAACATGCGATTCGAACTCCTCACTTTTCTAGCTTTATCACGCCTAACCCTGCCGAACGAAAGTTTCAGTAATAGTAACCAAACATCCGCGCGCGTTTAATCGAAATGAGTTTGGAATGAGCACGGAAGTTTAGCCGCCAATGAATATTAATAATTTCCTTAAGGAACCCTCTTCAAGCCGGTAAAACGTTCCAGCGGAGTGCGGAGTAACTTCGCGTCATTTATCAGCACATATTTAGACCATAAATCATGTCGAGTAATTTTATTTCATTAAGCTCGAACGGACCGCGGCTGTAAAACCTCATTCTCATTTTCTGGCCCGAAAGGGAAAGGGAAAGCGAAGATTCAGAGGAGGACGTAAGGTGGGCGCGAGAGAACGTGATACAGCGGGAAGACGAGCCGAAGGGAGAGAAACTTGCGCTTAACCAATCGATGCCGTCTACCTTGCTGAGTCTTTAATCACCCATCATGTAACGTCGTCCCATCCGAACCGTAACTTCAGACATGCTAACGATTACGAAGTCTACTAACGAATCTGTCTGCATATTACGGTTACCGTGGAAGTTCGGGGAATATTTAGGGGGCTGGTTATACGAGTCGAAGTAAGACGAAGATTGAGGAGGCCTACTTCATCTTTCGATCATAATTATGTCAAAAATCAGTTCAAGTATTAATACGCTGCCATCGGAAAGGATATCTGTTTCATTTCGTCGATTGACACAGAACTTGTACTAACTATTGGAATGGGAAGCTATCAGCGAACCAGTTACAATCATTTTTACGTCCAACAAGCATTAAGGAGTAAGTGACTACAATCTCCCTCTTATCGTAAAAGGTTTAACGATCGCGGCGTTGATGGAACGCCAAGATAATTCTCTCCGTGAGGGCTCTTTAAAAGCCCGAGGGTCGAAAACGAAGGGCGAAGGAAAACCGCAAAGAAAGCCCTCGAACGCAGACGTTCACCCTCGATCACCTGCCAGAGGCAGGCCGACATCAAAGAAATCAACCGTCCAAAAGCGAGCGTGCGCGCAAAAGCCACGCGATGGAACAACAACGGGTAGGAACCAGCCTGTGAATCGGTGGAAAAAAAGGCGAGGGCGCGTCTGTGTGAAAAGTGGGGTGGGCCCTCGCTCGCTCGCTCGCTCGCTCGCACGCTCGTACACGCCTGGCTAATTACGGATCACCCGCGGCGTGAGTTTCTACCCGGTATAAATTCTAACAGGAGGAGCGTGGCAACGACGATGAGGATGACGCCTCGACGGTGGTAAAACCGCGTATTAAAATTCCAGGCGTTCCGGTGAAATACTGATATTCCTGCCGCTACCACAAAGGTACCACCCGTTGGATATGTCAGGTGATATTGCCTTATGACGATGAAAGAGAGAGAGAGAGAGAGAGAGAGAGAGTGTGTGGAAGAGGGGTTAAGAGAGAAAGAAATGGGCAACAGAAACAGAAAGAGACGGTCAATGTGGATACGGAATGCAAGAGTAAGAGAACCAGGTTGGAGGGGGAGAATTTCAGAGAAGGAGGGAAGCGAAGGTGGTGAAATGCACTGGCAACTCGAGTGCCCCGAGGGATTAATCACGGGGCATTATGGCGGTGCCGGCTCAAAAGCGGCCAAGGAACGAGCGCGGGAACCTGAATCATAACTCAACCTCCTCAATCTCCGGGCGCAGGTACCTATCCGTTAGGAGTCGCATTAATAAAGGCATAAACGCTGTATAATTTCAAAGTAGGCACTGTTGGCAGCCAGAGAGCCACCCTTCCAAGCCCTTCGCTGCTTTCCAGATATACCGAAGCCCTTTCCGACAAACGAGTCGCTCGGCTCGCTTCTTCGCTTTTGACAACGGCGAAACTATAACTAGCGCCACGCGTAAGGAGAATGCGTGTGTGCTGGATTCGCCTCGAGCTCCTCTTCCCCGATATTGCCTTCGATTCTGGCATTAGCTGGGTTCATGTACCA